TCCCCGCGGGGGTCCCTGCTGTCCCCGTGGGTGTCCCTGCTGTCCCCAGGGTCCCTGGTGTCCCTGCTGTCTCCGGGGTCTCTGCTGTCCCCGTGGGTCCCTGCTGTCCCTGTGTCCCCGTGGGGGTCCCTGCTGTCCCCATGGGTGTCCCTGCTGTCCCCGGTGTCCCCGTGGGTCCCTGCTGTCCCTGCTGTCCCCGTGTCCCCGTGGGTGTCCCCGTGTCCCCGTGGGTCCCCGGTGGCAGCGGTGGCCGTTGCAGGGCCGGGTGCTGCACCCCGAGCAGCACCGCGTGGTCAGCGTGCGGGAGTGCGCGCGCTCCCAGGGCTTCCCCGACACCTTCCGGCTCTTCGGCAACATCCTGGACAAGCACCGCCAGGTGGGTGGCACCGCTGGCCCCGCTGTCCCCAGTGTCCCCTTCTCAGTGTCCCCTTCTCCAGTGTCCAATGGTCCTCTTGTCCCATTGTCCTTTGTCCTCTTGTCCCTTTGTCTCCTTGTCCCATTGTCCTTTGTCCTCTTGTCCCTTTGTCTCCTTGTCCCATTGTCCGTTGTCCATTGTCCTCTCGTCCCTTTGTCCCCATTGTCCATTGTCCCCTTGTCCCTTTGTCCCCTGTCCCCATCCCTGTGTCCCTGTCCCCTGTCCTTGTCACGGTGTCCCTGTCCCCGTCCCTGTCCCTGTCCCGGTGTCCCTGTGTCCCCTGTCCCCATCCCCTGTCCCTGTCCCTGTGTCCCCTGCCCCTGTCCCTCTCATGGTGTCCCTGTCCCTCTGTCCCCTGTCCCTGTCGCTGTCACGGTGCCCCTGTCCCCATCCCTGTGTCCCTGTCCCAGTCACGGTGTCCCTGTGTCCCCTGTCCCTGTCACGGTGTCCCTGTGTCCCCCGTCCCTGTCCCTGTGTCCCCTGTCCCCTGTCCCTGTCCCCGTCACGGTGTCCCTGTGTCCCTGTGGGGGTCTCCAATGTCCACCGTGTCCCAGTGGTTGGGTGTGGGGGTCTCCGGTGTCCACCATGTTGGGTGTGATGGTCTCTGGTGTCCACCATGTTGGGTGTGATGGTCTCTGGTGTCCACCATGTCCCAATGGTTGGGTTTGATGGTCTCCAGTGGCCACCATGTTGGGTGTGGTGGTCTCTGGTGGTCCCCACGTTGCTGTGGGGGTCTCTGCTGTTGCTGTGGGGTCCCTGGTGTCCCCACGTTGCTGTGGGGTCCCTGCTGTCCCCGGTGTCCCTGCTGTCCCTGGGGTCCCTGCTGTCCCCGTGGGGGTCCCTGCTGTCCTCGGTGTCCCCGGTGTCCCCGTGGGTGTCCCTGCTGTCCCCTGTCCCCGTGGGGGTCCCTGCTGTCCCCGTGTCCCCGTGGGGGTCCCTGCTGTCCCCGGTGTCCCTGCTGTCCCTGGGGTCCCTGCTGTCCCCGTGGGTGTCCCTGCTGTCCCCGTGTCCCCGTGGGTGTCCCTGCTGTCCCCGTGTCCCCGTGGGTGTCCCTGCTGTCCCCGTGTCCCCGTGGGTGTCCCTGCTGTCCCCAGGGTCCCTGGTGTCCCTGCTGTCTCCGGGGTCTCTGCTGTCCCCGTGGGTCCCTGCTGTCCCTGTGTCCCCGTGGGGGTCCCTGCTGTCCCCATGGGTGTCCCTGCTGTCCCCGGTGTCCCCGTGGGTCCCTGCTGTCCCTGCTGTCCCCGTGTCCCCGTGGGTGTCCCCGTGTCCCCGTGGGTCCCCGGTGGCAGCGGTGGCCGTTGCAGGGCCGGGTGCTGCACCCCGAGCAGCACCGCGTGGTCAGCGTGCGGGAGTGCGCGCGCTCCCAGGGCTTCCCCGACACCTTCCGGCTCTTCGGCAACATCCTGGACAAGCACCGCCAGGTGGGTGGCACCGCTGGCCCCGCTGTCCCCAGTGTCCCCTTCTCAGTGTCCCCTTCTCCAGTGTCCAATGGTCCTCTTGTCCCATTGTCCTTTGTCCTCTTGTCCCTTTGTCTCCTTGTCCCATTGTCCTTTGTCCTCTTGTCCCTTTGTCTCCTTGTCCCATTGTCCGTTGTCCATTGTCCTCTCGTCCCTTTGTCCCCATTGTCCATTGTCCCCTTGTCCCTTTGTCCCCTGTCCCCATCCCTGTGTCCCTGTCCCCTGTCCTTGTCACGGTGTCCCTGTCCCCGTCCCTGTCCCTGTCCCGGTGTCCCTGTGTCCCCTGTCCCCATCCCCTGTCCCTGTCCCTGTGTCCCCTGCCCCTGTCCCTCTCATGGTGTCCCTGTCCCTCTGTCCCCTGTCCCTGTCGCTGTCACGGTGCCCCTGTCCCCATCCCTGTGTCCCTGTCCCAGTCACGGTGTCCCTGTGTCCCCTGTCCCTGTCACGGTGTCCCTGTGTCCCCTGTCCCTGTCACGGTGTCCCTGTGTCCCCCGTCCCTGTCCCTGTGTCCCCTGTCCCCTGTCCCTGTCCCCGTCACGGTGTCCCTGT